TTGTTATCATTATTAATGTACTTTCACTCAAATTCTCAATGATCTAGAATCACAGCTGGTTACCTTTTTATTTTTGAAAACTTATACTCTGCTTCTCAGTTGTAAGAGTCTTTGTTCACATCTTTGAATATCTTGATTTGCACAACGCTCAGGTACTAAGCTTCCTGCAGAGCTGCGAGCAACTGTACCTTCTTCAGTCAGGCCTGCCCACTGTGGGCAGACCTCTCACTCAACCTGAAGAACCCAGCTAGGACTTAACATCTAACCCTCAGAAGCCCTGCTACATGGCCCTGTTCCAGGCGCCAAAACAGTAGGCATTAGTGTCTTCCCAAGGGGCAAGTTACATTCCACAATAGGCTCCTTGCTTAACAAACTCTACAAGAAAAACACCTAGAGTTTACAGGATTACTACTTCTGCACATTTTGAGGGCAGATATTGTGAGTCTACATTTTTATATACTCCTACTACCTACTAGATGCCAAGGGCATCATTAGATGCTTTCAGATTCATTCTGCTTAGATCAACCCAATGAATCCCAAGTATTATCCCCATATTAAAAATTAGCAAGTTGGCAAAGGGATAATAAAGCATGCCTCAGGTCACACATCTGGAATTGGCAGGCCAAAAAGTTCATCAACAAAAACACCCTCAACTTATTTGTATCATGCCATTTTGACCCTCCAGAGCTATTCCACAGAAAATGCCAGAGATGGATTGGAGGCTGAGCTTCTAGCCTAGGAGAATAGTTCATTTTCTCCTTATTTGGGTGTCTCTGATGGCAGGCAATAGTGAGTTGAGTTCTCATTCCACTCCTTAGCATTTATTCAGTCTTAGGCAGCTTAATAAACCCCTCTAAGCTTCCACTATGTCCTCTATAAAATAAGGATCATGACAATACCGACTTTGGAGGCTGCTTTGTGAGGGCTAGAGATAATGACCGGGAAACACCTGACACATTAAAGAGCTCTGTTAGAGCCATTATGATTCCATATGCTGGATGGTAGTGCTCCTCAGTTGTGCACCAGATAGGCTGCCACTACCACGCCAAACCATTAAGACTTAAAGACTTAAAATTAGGAAGCCAAGGCAGAATTGTTTGCAGCCAGGAGTTCAAGACCAGTCTAGGCAACATAGGGAGACCCTGTCTTCACTAAATAAATAAATAAATGTTTAAGAGACTTAAAATTTTCAAAGTATGTTATCTGGCCCATATCATAGTTATATCACCCTAGATTCTTGCCCCTCCCCATACATGGTGCCATTATTGCTCTGCTATGGAAGCCTGGCCTCTGTCTGGCTCCCACTCACTTATCCTCACCCTTTATTTCAGCCCACAAGGAAGCAAGTTGGGTTAGCAGTTAAAAAGTTCACTACTGATATCCAGTTGAAATCCAGAAGAAAGGAACAATGAGCCTGCCGATGTCAGGGCAGACTCAATTCTGGCTATGTCTCAGGAAAGAACAAAAGTCAACAGCCCAGCCATTCACTCCAGAATATCAGGCCTGCTCCTCAGATGAGTTTGTGTGTTCTTGGGACATGTGATCTAATAGAATAAATGTGACCCAATTCCCAGAGCATTGGTTTCACCTGCCGATTTGAGATTAGAATTAAATCAGTAATTAAAGTACTAATCTAATCTAAAATTGTATTTATATATCAAAACAAATGTGTTATGGAATAGAAGGCAGAATTTACATTAATTAAAATACCAGACTTTTAAACATCTTACTTATAGAGGGACAATTTGGGCTAGGCTCTTAGACCACTAAATTTTTTTCATGTTCACTTTCCTATGCCCTTTAAGAAAAACCTGATGGAAAAGTTGGCAGCTTTTTTTTTTTTTCTAATGGTATTCTTTAATGAAAATAAACCCTTTTCTGCAGTCCTATCCAGGACCGTAAAATCACATAAACTCATGTCTCTGGAAGATGTAAGAATTATACCTCTGAGGATTCCTCTTAATCAAAGGGAAAGTTTTTAAAAGGCATCCATCCTTAGATGACTAATTGCCCAATCTAAATATCTTATGAAATTATATTTTCATGTAAAGTTGATAATTTTCAATTCTGTATTACAGGATCTTATCAACAGTATCATTACATCTGTGTTCCTTTTAGTAGTTGCCATCTTGACAATGCAAGAAAAGAAAAGAAGGCATTTATTCTATGTTGGAGGGGTAAGTAGAGCCCTTCATGACTTCATTTAAGATTACTTTGCCAAGACTGAAAAGGAAAACTGAAAGACCATCATTATGCCATTAACCAAACAGAATCCTCACTGCCACCCATCTCCTTCTTGTACTGACTTCTTCAGATCATGTGAAGTTGCACAAACTCTAAGCTCTTGAAAATCCAATTGTAATGTACATTCTCAAAAGTCTGCTGAACCCCTTTTGAGAATTGTACATACTGTTTTTAAAATGTTAAACAAGATGTTTTGTCTATAAATAGGACTCTGATATTCTGTTCTAGAGGACTGTATTTTTATTTTTTATTTTTTTTGAGTTAGAGTCTCACTCTCTTGCCCAGACTGGAGTGCAGTGGCCGCTCCCGACCACCACAGCCTCGACCTGCTGGGCTCCAGCGATCCTTCCGCCTCAGCCTTCCAAGTAACTGGAACTACAGGCACGCGCTACCATGCCCGGCTAATTTTTTGATTTATTGTAGAGATAAGGTCTCGCCAAGTTGCCCAGGTGGGTCTCGAACCCGCGGGCTCAGGCAATCCACTCACCTCAGCCTCCCAAAGTGTGGGATTACAGGGTGAGCCACCGAACCCGGCTGAGAACTGTATTTTAAAGACAGATGAAAAGAGAGGTTGCAGAGGGGAAAAGTGCATTGTCAAAAGTGAGTAGCCCAGCCAATTCAGGAAGGAAGAGAGAAACCTGTCACATGTTGAAGTATCTAGTATGTACCTCACATTAGGCTAGGCACATTCTGACTTGATCTTTACAATTCTCATTTTTACAGATATAGGAACTGAGGTTAACTTACCTTGCTCTGGGTCACAAGCCTAGGACAAACTGAGACTCAAACCCTCATCATATGGAAGAACACAAGAATGGCAGATCAAATGCTTGGAAGATGGGGGGAGTGGGGAGGTAGGATTTTGGTTCAAGACGTTAAGCCACGGGGACAGGAATTCATCCAGGAGGGGAAAAAAATAGCTTACATTCTTTGAATTCATTACATAATCAGTAAATATTTGTCATTCCCATTGGACTGTGCCAGACCTGAGCTCAGTGCTGAGGACAGATCCCCTTCACCTGGGGGAAGCTCACAGATTAGCTGGGGCATGACTTACCTTGGAAGACTTCATTAAGCACACAGGAATTAAGTGACCATTAAGAGAAACATCCAAGATTGTCAAGAGCCCCGGAGCACCAGGGAATATCTGCTGCCAAGGGTCCCTGGTCCCCACCTGCTAACTCAGCAGTCAAGCCTTCTACTGCCAGGGGTTCCCACTCCAGGATTCCATCGCTTCTTACCTGGATGGCAGCAGCTCACCCCCACCCCAGACTGGTCTCCCTGCCTCCAGCCTGGTTCACTTTCCATTCACCTCATGGGCACTGCAAGTGGGGTTTTTGGAATCTCACACCTGACCTCTTCTCTTGAGAGAGTCCCAGATCCTGCACCTTCTCAGCGTCAACTCTGTCCCCTCTCTCAGCCACCCCAGAGGTCCTGGTCACACTAGATTCCGTGGAGACCCTAATCCATTGCCTGGAGTTCTCCTCCACCCCTTGGGAACTCCTTCCTGCCCATTTCAAATAGCCCAAGAGTTCCTTCCACGGAGAAACCTTTCTCAGGACCCTACCCATACCTGGAGGGTTCTAAGGCAGGTCCCCTTCCCTGGTCCTTTCCTGAAACCTCAGGCATCAGGCGAGACCACTACTGGCAACAAAACCCACCCTTTCCAAATTCCTTTTTTCTGGGAAAGGGCCTGCAGCAGCCAGCTAGGCAGACACCAAGAGGGCAGTGGAGGGTCGGGGGGAACAGGAAGCCACCTGCATTGCCTGCCTGAACCCGGACAGGTTGGAGAGGTTGCTGCTGAGCTGCAAAATAACCTCACTTTCCTTCCTGCATATGGTCTTGTATCTGACAGTCCCTGTGTCTCACAGCGGTAATCGTGTGCTGCATCGATGCATTTGTGGTCACCAAGAAGATGAGGAATAACGTGAAAAGAGTCCTAGGAATCAAATTTGAAACCAAGCGCTCCAGCATCGGGGGCCCGGTCCAGAAACCCATCCCGGCGCCCGACCAGAAACCGGTTCCGGCGCCTGTCCAGAAACGCGTTGCGGCGCCTGCCCAGAAACGCGTTGCGGCGTCTGCCCAGAAACCCGTCCCGAAGCCTGCCCGGAATCCTGTCCAGGCGCCAGTCCAGAAACCCACCCCGGCGCCTGCTGATGTCCGCGCTGAAGCCCGCCCGGCACCCTAGCGGATGCACGTGTCGGTGTCTAACCGCTCCCTCCAAGCCCACCCTGAGCTCGCACGCTGTCACCCATTGTGGCCTACATGTGACCATAAAATCAGGGCTGCTAAGTCGGGAACACGCTCTCTGCTTCCTCTCATTGCCTGGTGTGAAAGTCGCGTTACGCTCGCCTGCGCGTGGCGCTGGGCCCAGGGAGCTCAGACCGCTCCGCCTCTGGAGGCGGTGGCGAGGGGCCGCGACCCCGGGGTTCCAGCCAACCCGACCTGAAGAAGGGAGCTGCGGCTACAGACCGGGAGCCACCTTGCGAAGCCTCCGTAGCACCGGGAGGAGACTTCTACCCAGAAGTGGGACCAGCGCGTTGGGAGCTGAGGTGGGGCTCCTGCGGGGGGGG